AAAAAAAAAAAAACTAATAAATTTTTTAAAAACTTTTAGCCAACCATTAATATTCTAAGAAAATGCCAAAAAAAGTATTTGAAAGTGTTTATGGGCTTAAAAATAAAACAAAACCCACCTTTTGTTCCTTGAGAGATTAAAACAGGAACATTTTCCTTCAATTTCCAAGCACCCTACCAGATGAATTCTATGGTCAGATTCTGCAGGCATGAGTGGGCCATTTTCTCTCTCCTCTTCCCTCCCTGTATCAACAAAGCAGGCACATCACAGCCCAAGGTTCTGAGAGGCAACTGCTCCTGTCTCCACCTTCTCATTCCTTCCTTTTCACCTGCTTTGCCGCATCCTGGCATTGCTCCCCACACATCGGCATATCTTTTCTTAAACGGTCTTTTCTAGTCTGACTATAACCAAATGCTTAAAATCTTTCCCACCATATCATCCTTCTCCTCAGTTTGTTTGTGTGGTTGGATAGCTCTGAGATTGGAAATGAGGAATAAGATTTCAGGTCTAGTATCTGGTTCCAGTAGAATACACACCTCAAACTACTGGGTGGTTGGAAAAGTCAGCACACACTTTTGCATAGAAAAACATAGGAAAAGATACGCCATGACGTTCCCGACAACCCCGTGCTCTCTCAGTAATGCTCAGAAAGCCCAGCGTTTCACCCTGCAGCGCGGTGTCAGCCCACTGTGGGGGCTCGGCCCCTTCTGCTCTGACAGTCAGCAGATCGTTTCCAAGGCAGGAGTGTCACCCGTCGTGAATACAGGTCACCAGAGGGACGACCTACCGTGTCCGTGTCCAGTGGGAGTCCCTTCCCAGGGAATCCTTCAGGCGAAGTACACAGACAGGAATTACATCAATTACCACTTATGATCCTGTTTTTAGTCAGAGTGGAGAACAAACTTTATACACAATAAGTGGTTTTCACCACCCTTTTTGATCAATCAAAAGCTGCAAATATGAGATGAAGCTTCCACCGCTTTCTCCTGTCCCCTCTTCCTGCCTCCCTCCCTCCCATTCTCCATGTCAGCTTTTGCAGCTGTGATTACAATAACCTGAGGGGGAGCCCTTTGCCCCTTTGCCCATGCAATATTTACTACATACTTACACTAATGAATTACTCACTGTTTATCTGAAACGTAACTTTAACGGGGTGTCCTGTGTATTTTAAAGTGTATTTAGTTATTTTTTGCATGAGAGACAGGCAGAGGTGTCTCCAACAGAACGTTGAAGCCACAGCCCACTGCCAGTGTCAGCCAGTCCAGATTGCAGCATGCCTGGTTGCTCAGGGAAGTCCCACGTCCTGATCCTCGGACCTTCCCATATGGATCAAATTGCACTAGCACTGTAACATCAACTAGTCCAAACTAAGGCCACGTCACATACTAATTAAATCAGAATCTCTTGGTGTGGAGTCTGAATATGAGACATTTTATAAATTCTCCCCGGGTGATTCTACCGTTAGCCGTGGCGGAAAACTACTGATGTCCGGATTTGATTCCCACTTAGAACTTGTCTCATATTCGGCGAACCTCACTATTTTTGCTCTCCCCAACATAAACCCCGCACACCCCTGTGTTGTCGTCTTTCCCAAGCCCAGTCTCATCCTGATTGGGATCACATTTTCCACTCATTTTCCCCAAGGGAAAATGGTAAGCAGAGTGGGTGAGACAGAAACTGCAGGGAACTGGGGCTCTCTTACCCTCATTGTCAGAGAGAGGATATTATAAAAATATTCCCTGTCTAATTATGCCTATCAAGAAACACAGTAGGATGGGATTCTATCCTGACTGAGTTCACCCTCCCCTGGGATAACCTGCCTTTCTTCTTCCAGGTATATCTACTTGTAAAAAGCTGTTGGGAGGAAGATCCAGAAAAGAGACCAGATTTCAAGAAAATTGAGAATACACTGGCCAAGATATTTGGGTACTGCCTAAGTTATTTTTCCTTCACTAATTTCATATTTTTCAATGATAATTGACATTCCGTGGCATGTAAGAAAGAAAATGTGTATTCTGATGAAGAACCTCATAGTGCAACTAACTTCCATCTCATACACAGTAAGAGGGTAGGGACCAGCAGGTGGCGTGGTGATTGAGGTGCTGGACTTCCACATGATCGGCCACAGTTTGGATCTCGGACCTGGTGGCTTGCTTTCTTACTTTCCCCCTCTCTCTCTGTCTCTCTCTGGTCAAATTAAAAAAATAATAGTAATAATAATGATAATAAATAAAATTAAATAAATAATTCTTTTTAAAAAATTTAAGATGATACTGCCTGGCCACAGTGGCATAACAGCAAGGCACTGTTGAAGTCACGTGGAAGGCCCAACAGTGGCCTACCCAGCCCAAACAGGCCAGAGATGGCAGTGTGCACCTGGTCCTGGCTGACTGAGAGATGAGGGCAGGAAGCACGGCAACACTGAGAGAGCCTTTAAAAAAATCTAATTCTTAAAGATCTATTTTTTTTTCTCTCTTCTTGCTCATATTCTTTTTCTCTCTCTTTAAAAAAAAAAAAAATAGGGCATGGAGGTGGCCACCCTATGGAAAAAATTAAGATGATATGGAGACTTAACAGTCCATTTTCACAGGGAAATAACCACTTAGAAAGTTACCTAATGTCTGGGACCAGCAGTTGATGTAATGGCTATGTCACTGGACTCCCATGTAGTCGACCGTGGTTCAAATCCCAGACTTGGTCGCTTAAAACTCACGCTGGTCATGTGTGTGTGTGTGTGTGTGCCCAAGATCCCGAGACAAGAATGGAGGAGAAGGGATTGTGGCGTAGCCATCCCTCCTGGGGGGTGATTTCTCCCTTTCTGTCTCTCCTGTCTTTCTGGCCCTATAGCAAAAACCTCTCCGAAAGGAAGGAAGGAAGGAAGGAAGGAAGGAAGGAAGGAAGGAAGGAAGGAAGGAAGGAATGAGAGAGAGAGAGAGAAACCTAATGTCAAACCTTGCTTATTAAAAGATAGATCTGGGGGGCCAGCAGGTGGCATACTGGTTGAGGTGCTAGACTACACATGACCAACTACAGTTTGAGTCCTGGCCAGGACCTGGCAGCTTGAAACTCATACCAGGCGCATGGGCATGCATACTTAAAAGTCCTAGAGGAGACTAGAGGAGAAGGAATTGTGGCATGGCCACTCCCCTGGCGGGTGATTTCTCAGTTTTTCTCTCTCTGTCTTTCTGAGAGCACACACTCCCTATAGCAAAAATCTCTCTAAATCTCTTTTAAAATTAAAAATAAGTTCAGACCAACCATATATTTATCTGTTAAAAATATAATTTGTAGACCTTTCTGCAGGTCTAACATGGGTCCTGCATAGAATCTGTAAAGCCCCTAGATAATCCTTAACATTAGCAAGTTTCTTAAGATCTTAAACATCTTAAAATAACTAGCTTTGATCCTAGGTACTTAAAGCTTAGGTCATGAATCAGAATATAATTCAGAGTCAAAAAGAAAAAAAGTAGCACCCAATTATCTGATAAGATTGAATTCCAGATGCCCCCCCAACCCCCACTGAAGAATGAGAAAAGTAATACTGAATTAAGAGATAGGAGATCCAATTTCCAGAGTAGGATCTGATAATATTAACAGTTTGCTGGGTGTCAGTTTTCTTGTTAGTAAAACTAGATTGAACGCAATGATTTCTTTATTTTATTTTATTTTATTTTATTTATTAGTATTTATATAATTTGCTATAGGCCACAGGTGCTCATGAGAGAGAGCGAGGAAAAGTAAGAAAGCAAGCCTCCCTCCAGGTCCAGGACTCGAACAGCGGTCTACAATGCAGGAGTCTAACACCTTAACCATTACCTGCTGGCCCCTATGATTCCTCCCAGCTCTAACTTTCTGTATTTCTCATTAGGTCAAAAGATTCCGATACCTAATGAGCTAAGAGCTGGGGCTGGAAATGAGGTAGAGTGAAGTTAATGACAGCGTGGTCACTGGCAGAACTGAGAAACCGAGAGGAAGTAACTGAGAACTTAATTCCTTCCCCCTTTTCACACCTTCACGCACCAGTTACTAAGGTCGGATGAGACTGTAAGTGCTACAGACTGAATGCAAACTCACAAAGATAAACAGGGCCCCTCTATTTAACCTTTACTGCGGGGGGGTGGGGGGGGGGGTGTCTCAAACGGGGCGGGGGGGGGGGGGGGGGGATGTCTCAAACGTGGCGGCACCTTGGAACCTTGGAATCACTGAGGGCTGTGGAAACACTGCAGGGGTTCTACCCTAGGAAGTCTGATGTAATTGCTCTGGCATGCAAACTGGCAGCAGTTTTTTTAATAGCTTCCCAGATGATTAAAATATGCCGTCCAGGGACCAGTAGATGGTGTAATGGTTACGTTGTTGGACTTGCACGTAGTCAACTGCAGTTCAAGTCCCAGACCTGGTGTCTTAAACTCACATCAGGCATGTGTGTGTGTGCATGGCCAAGATCCCGAGAGGAGAATAGAAGAGAAGGGACTGTGGCATGGCCATCCCCCCCTGAGGGGTGATTTCTCATGTTCTGTCTCTCTGTCTCTCTCTGCCTCTCCAGTGAGTGCAAGCACCCTAGAGCAAAAATCTTTCTTAAAAAAAAAAAAAAAAGCCATCCAAGCTGAGAAAACTGTTTTAATTGAATCAGTTCATCACAAAGTGAGACAATCCATCTTCATATTTTACACCTGCCCCCTAGACTCTGACTCAGGTAAAAATTCCCCCCAGGAGCTTGTTAAAACATTCTGTTTCTTAATTCCATAGCTAGCAATTTGTAGTCATAGAGGTCTGGGATAGGACTCAGAAATATACTGAACTTTTAACAAGCATTCCCCACCACCCCAGCGGATTACGATGCAGGCTGTCTCCTCCTGAGAGCAGAGGCGGTAACTTGTAATTGTCGCTGTGTAATAATGAAAGGTTGTGATCGGAACCTCCCACTGTCGTACGTGTTATGAACATCATCCCATCCTCACAACACCGCAAGAACTCAGCACGTCCCCTGCCCAGTCTCCGCGTCAAAGCTTCCATACTTCCCAGGGTCACCCCAAGTGCCCTTTCATCTCAGTCTCCGCAGTCTAACAGAATAATCCAAAGATGTTTTTTGTTTGTTTGTTTTAGGACTTGGCTCTGTTCTGACATAGACATTTTAAGGTTCAACTTGGCATATACTTTCAATGATCAGTTTTAGACCATTTTTTTTAAAAGCTCTTTCTTGGGGCCAGCAGATGGCATAGTGGTTATATTGCTGGACTCCCACATGGCCGACCGCAGTTTGAAATCCAGACCCGGTGGCTTGAAAATCACCCCAGGAGCATGTGCCTGTGTGCCCTGGGAGGACAGAAAAGGGACTGTGGCATGGCCATCCCTCTGGGGTGATTTCTCACGTTCCCTTTCACAGTCTCTGTCTCTTTCCTGCGAGTTCATAGACCCTAAAGCAAAAACCTCTTATGAAAAAAGGATTTTTACTTACTGTAAATTTTTACTAAACTTTTTAGAAAATATGAATAAGCAAACAAGAAAGTAAGACCTCACCTGTTTTCCAATAGATGACCATCAGTTTTAAAAAAAAGGAATGAGATGATACATTTTTGCTGTTTTATAAATTGACTTCTTTCACTTAATATAGAAGGGAGGCACCTTCTTTGCATTTAACTATTCTATTTTGTATTTTATGATACATTAATATTCCCTTGCACCCCACTAGTTTAACTAGATTTTGTTACATATTTAAGTTATTTTAAAATGTTTGCTATCAGAAACATATTCATTGGGCCAACAGATGCCATAGAGGTTAAGGTAGCTGATCCCACATGGCCTACAGCATGATTGGAGTCCCAGGCCCTGTGATTTGAAAAACACACTGGGTACAAGCCCAAAATCCCGAGAGGAGAATGGAGGAGAAGGGATTGTAGTGTGGCCATCCCCCCAGAGGGTGATTTCTCACTTTCTCTCTCTCTCTCTCTGTGTGTCTTTCCGGCGAGTGCATAGGCCTTAGAGAAAAAAAAAAAAAAGAGAGAGAGAGAGAGAAAGGGAGAAAGAGAGAGAGAAAGATGTTCATAGATGTTTCTTAGGATAATTCTTAGAAGTGAAGTTCATGAGATTATAGGTGTGTGCATTTCAAAAGCTTGTGACACTTTTTTTTTTTTGAAGAGGTTTTTGCTATAGGGCACGTGCGCTCGCCAGACAGACAGAAGAGACAGAGAGACAGAAAGCAAGAAATCACCCCCCAGGGGGATGGCCATGCCACAATCCCTTCTCTTCCGTTCTCCTCTTGGGATCTTAGGCACGCATGCACACGCGCCCGGTGTGAGTTTAAGCCACCAGGTCCGGGACGTGAACCATGGTCGACTACGTGGGAGTCCAGCAACATAGCCATTACGCTAACTGCTGGTCCTGCTTGTGACACATTTTACAAGACTGTTCTCTAGGGCCATCCCTGTGGTGCAGTAGTTAAGTGCTGTGCAGAGGAAGCCACATCCCATATGGCCTATCATAATTTGAATCCAGGCCTTAGCAGCTTGAAGAAAAAAAGAACATGCTGGACACATATGCGCATGTGCCCAGGATCCTGACCGGAAGGAGGAATGAAGGAAAGGGGACTGAAGCGTGACTAGTCTCCACTGGGGGCATTTTCTCTCTCTGGCACACTACAGACCTTCTGGCATTTTAAATAAAGAGTTGCTCCTCAGGAAGGTTGTATCATGCATATGTATGGCTCATTGTCATCATTCTAACATGTTTTTCTTTTTTAAAACCTTATTTATTTATTTATCTATTTATTTATTTCTCCTGAGGCTAAACTTTTCATGTCTATTGGTGATCTTTACAATTTTTGAATTGCCTGTTCATCGTATTTGCCCATTGTTTTACTGACTGCCCATTTTTTTTCTTAAAAATGTATAAAAGCTCTTTACCTATTACTATCTATAGCCTTTTTCATGACCAAAAAAATGAAAGTTATATGGATACCTTGATCCGACGTCTTCAGCTGTATTCCCGAAACCTGGAACATCTGGTAGAGGAACGGACACAGCTGTACAAAGCAGAGAGAGACAGAGCTGACAGACTGAACTTCATGTTGCTCCCAAGGTAAGGCAAGTCTGCTGACGTGGTCTCGCACAATTCTGTTGTCATGCTTGATGGTACCAAGCTGACACCTTCAGCATATTTATCCAGTATTGTTGTAGGTTTTTTTTTTCCCTTTGTATTTACATAGGATTGTTTCCTTTTGCATATTCCCTTAGCATATTGTTCAGCAGATTTCTAGGTTTAAAAATACATGCATCTTGCTAAGTCTTGTTTGGGTTTGCACTATAAATACCCAGGAGAAAAAAGTTATTTCAAATGATTATGTGCTGCCATGGAAGGAGCCATGGACTATGGAATTAGACCCACTAACTTAGGTTCCAACACTTCTTTGCCACGTATTATTAAGTCTGGGACCTTGGGCAAGTTGTTTTTTTGTCTGTTTGTTTGTTTTTTGGTTTTTGGGGTTTTTTTGGAGAGGTTTATGCTATAGGGCGTGTGCGCTAGCCAGAAAGACAGAGAGAGACAGAGAGACGGAAAGCGAGAAATCATCCCCAGGGGGGATGGCCACTCCGCAATCCCTTCTCCTCTCAGGATCTTGGGCACGCACGCACACACGCCCGGAGTGAGTTTAAGCCTCCAGGTCTGGGACTCGATTCACAGTTGACTACATGGGAGTCCAGAGACATAGCCATTATGGGGACCTTAGGCAAGTTTATCTCTCCTCTATCTCAAAATGGAAACTAAAGTTTTCCTACAGAATATATGTGCTATAAGACACTTTCAGGAACTAAGTGTTAGTTTCTCTACTTTCTTCTTCTCACCACACCTGGGAGCCAAGTTCCAAGAAGAACTATCCTCGGTGAAGTAGGGGAAACATTAGAGGGCTTGCCATGGGGACATCGCCAGGCTGACTTCCATTTGGGAAGCATTATTACAGCCATGACAGAAGAGAAAGGAAGGTTGAAATTCCCAAACAGTTTAAAGCTTTCTAAGAGTTTCTACCTGAGTAATAACTGGAAAAGGTTAAGATAAGCAAACAATTAAAATGTGATGAGCTAGAAAATAGGCCCAGCCCACAAGTGTACACAAGTGAGAAGCAATGTTCTCTTCTCGTGAAAGTATGCTGACCCTTACAGAGACAGGGCACACATCTTAGTAACGTGAAAGAGTTTTATTTCAGCTCCTAAGAGTTACAACCCTCCCAGGGGACACAGATTCAAACAGCCTTGAGTATGCATTGCCAGGTCTTACAATCTCAGACAGATTTTAAAACCCATAAGGGTGGGAATGGAGAATATGTCCGTTGTTTGGCCACGGTTCTCCAGGGTCAAAAACAAGGGTGAATTGATGCCACTTGTGTGGGTGACCTTGTTATTGGTTGGACAGGCAGCTTCTAGCCAGATGTCCTTGCAGAAGTACTTCCCATGTCAGGCTGCAGTGGTCTTTGTGCAAGGTTGTGTCTGACAGAGCACTGACAGTGCTTGTTACCAGGCATACTTGCATGAGAACAGCCTCTTCATGGCCTTCCCGGGCTCGATTTAGTCAAGGTTTAACACAAGTTAAAATAAACAACGCCATTTATAATTTTGACAGCTTTTGCAAGAGATAATACACTGTACTGCTAGAGTAAGAAGCAGCTAGGCAGCCCAGTTTTGGGTGGAATCAGGGAAATTGAGGTCAGGTAGGCCTGACTTCAAAGCCTGGTTCCCCCACCTACAATTGAAGAATAATCTTGAGCAAGTTACCAAAATGCTCTAAGCCTCAGCTTCCTATCTGTCTTCCAGGGGCTTCTAAAAATTTCCTGAGATACTATGCAGAAACTTACAAAGTGCCTAGAATAGCCACAGTATTACTGTTATATACAGCAACTATGGCTTTTATATAAAACTTGCATCAATTATTTTATTTTGAAACTTCATTTTATTTAGAATATCAGCTCTATATGTGTAAGAGAAAGATTTTTAGGTTATATGAGCAGTTTTCTTTTCCATACAAACAGTTCTCTAGATAACGGTTTCTTTTCTGCAGGCCTAAGTCAGGACGCAAGAATTACACAGGGGCTCTGCTCAGTGTTGGGACCTGAAGAAATGTAATGCAAAACTCATGAGTCCTCAGAATGCCTGGAAACACTCTGAGAATAGAGCCCACCCTAGTAATGGGCTGGGATCCTTCATATTTACCTCAGGGACAGCTCTGAAAATGTTATGTAAGGGGCCTTCAAAAAGTTCATAGATGGAACCAGCAGTTAGTGTAATGGCTATGTGGCTGAAATCCCATGTAACCGACCACGGTTTGAATACCGGACCCGGTGGCTTAAACTCATGCCGGGCGCATGTGCGTGCATACCCAAGATCCCGAGAGAATGGAGGAGAAGGGATTGCGGCATGGTCATCCCCCCTGGGGGTGATTTCTTGCTTTCTATCTCTCTGTCTCTTTCTTTCTGGCAACTGCATGTGCCCTATAGCAAAACCTCTCAAAAAACAAAAAAGTTCATAGAAAAATGTGTATTGTGAAAACACTATGTGTGGATTTCAAGGTTTTTGCACCAAAATAAACTTATAATTTAATTCCATTTTCCCAAAAACTTTTTGGAGCCTCTATATATAATACATAATTCCTGGGCCAGCTCCACAGCCTGGTGGTTACGGCAGCCAGATCCCCATGGCCAACTGTGCAGTTCAAGCCCTGGGCCCAGCAGCTTGAGAAACATGCTCAGTACATGAGCATGCACATGCAAAATCCTGAAAGGACAGAAATATGGAGAAGGGATTACAGTGCCATCCCACGGAAAATGCTTTCTCCTCTTCCTCTCTCTCTGTCTCTGTGTCTCTCTCGAACACATGCGTGCACACATGCACACACAAAGACACAACTCCCTGCCTGGCCTTCAATGCTGAGTTGTGATGAAACATCCTCCTTGTCATCTGGCTTCCTTCCCAGGGTTTCATCATCTCTGGTTTTACACAACAAAGTCGCTCAAATGGTCTGAAACAGCTGGCTCCCCACCTCAGTCTCTTTCCTAGCTCGAGTCAATACACCACCTCGGCCACTAGATGGCAGAGGTTTTAACTGGATTGACAAAGTTCACAATGAACAGCTACCATACACCAGGACTCGGGCACGAATCGCCTTGATTATTTAAGTAAAATGTCTTTTTATTTGCAAAATTAAACTGAAACATGCATGAATAATAACTAGAAGAATCAAAAGAAATATTTATTGTGAAAGACAAATTTAATACTGTATGTAGGAACCAGAAGGAGAAGAAACTGGCGTGACCATGCTCCATTGGGGAGTGCTTTCAGTCTCTGACAGAAGCGTGAACCCTCTGGCACTTGTAAAAAAATTAAAAAAGAAAAATGTTTTTCTTCTCATGGAAAGTCTTTGCCAGACATCTCCTGTGTACACTAATTCTGCCTGTGTCACAACCTGTTTCCAAGCTCACCATGTTCAGCTTCCTTCATTTATCTGTCAGCATTGGTTTCTCTCTCTGGGCACGGCACTATTTCCAATCTCACATGAATTTTTGTATATAAGCAGTAAAACGGGTAAAAGTGGCAGAATATCCCATCGAATCACTACATCTACCTGGTATTCAGAATACTGTGCATTTGATACTTGGCATGTTAAGAACAACGGCCCCAGATGTGTCCTCCAGAATTCAATAAATCACATCAGAGGAGCATTTTCAAAGGTCCCAGGTTTCATCATAGCACCAACTGAAAATGCTGCCCTCGAGCCAGCCCCACAGCCTAGTGCTTAAGAGGGTCGGAGCCCTCATGGCCAAATGCTCTGGCGGTTTGACAAACGTGACAGGCACCAGTGCTTGTGTGACCAAAATCCTGACAGGATGGAGAAATGCAGGATCGTGGCATGACCACACCCCATCGAGAGACAGTTTCTCCCCTTTCCTCTCTCTGTCTCTCTGTTTCTCCCTGGAAAGTGTACCTGCATTCGATGTTTGCACATTATCCAAATGAGTGTTATGAATCTTGGTGGTTGGCTGGCTGCTTGGGTTCTGGGAGAGTCCCAGGTGCTCCTTTTTTGCTACGGTCAGCCCCATCCAGACCTTCCCCATCTCCCAGATTCCCAAGGGCAGGACTGCGGAGGAAGTACAGGGAAATTTAAAGATGGAAAGGCGGATGCTGTTGAGTTCTGTCCTGGCTCTGTCCTCAGTGAGCTGTGGGACCTTATAAAAGTTGTCCTTCTGGGACCAGCAAATGGTGTAATAGTTACACAGCTAGACTCCCGTGTAGTCGGTAGCAGTTCAAGTCCCAGACCTGGCGACTTCAAACTCATGCCGGGCATGTGTGCGTGTATGACAAAAATCCCAAGAGGAGAATGGAAGAGAAGGGATTGTGACAGAACCATCCCCCTTTGGGGGGGGGTGATTTCTCACTTTCTATCTCTCTAGTGAGCACATGCACCCTATAGGAAAAAAATTATCTCTCTCTCTAAAAAAAACAAAAAAGCTGTCCTTCCTCTTTACGCCCCAACTTTCACATCTGTGAAACTAGAGGATTTATTCTTAATGACCTCTAATGGCACCTCCCAGCTTTGGGTCATGATTCTGGCAGAATCAAATCAAAGCAAATCCTGGTGGATTCCACACTCAGGTCCACTACAAAGCGATCCCCACGTCAGGCTGCCTCATGTCAGCCACCGTTCCTCCTTCACAGTGAAAAGGCCACATGGCCACAGAGGAGGTTCTTCCCTCTCAACTCTGAGTCCAAGATGCTGCTCCTTATATCTCACCAAAGATATTCTAAGTTGTTTCCATTTCACTTCTACAGTTTCAGCAGAATTTTAATTTGTTTATGTAGCCATTGACTTTGCTTTTAAAGGACCCAAATCTGGCTCAAAGTACATCACATAAATTTTGGTTCATAATATGTCATAATTAATTTTTAAAGAATTGTTTATGTATTATCATTATTTTTCAGTTTTGACCAGAAAGACAAAGAGAGAAAGAGACGATATAAAGGAAGCCTTGAGGTCTGGGACTCAACCCCGTTGTCAGCCATGTGGGAGTCCAGAGCCCTTAACCACTATGCCACCTGCCAGCCCTTATCACTAATGTTTTAAAAGGATTATTTATTTAATTTTATTTATTACTATTGTTATTTTTTCACTTTAGCTGTAGCCCATGTGCACTCACCAGAGAGACACAGAAAGAAAGAGAGGGAAAGTGAGAAAACAAGTCTCCAGGTCCAGAATTCAAACTTGAGTCGGCCATGTGGGAGTCCAGTGCCTTAACCACCATGCCACCTGCTGGCCTCTGTCATCATTTTAAAGTGCATTATTCCTTCATAATATTATTAAACACTGCCAGGGAAGTAAAACTATTGACTTCAAAGAAAAGTCAGAGGGTCAGCAGATGGCATAGTGGTTATATCGCTGGCCTCCCCCATGACCAAACGCAGTTCTAGTCCTGGTTCCAGTGGCTTGAAAATCATGCTAGGTATGTGGCATGTGTGCCCAAGATCCCGGGAGGAGAATGGAGGAGAAGGGATTGCAGCATGGATATACTCCCTGGGGGATGATTTCTCACTTTCTCTCTTGCTATCTCTGTCTCCCTCTCTCTCTCTCTCCAGCAAGTGCACATGCTGTAAGGCAAAAACTCCTTAGGAAAAAATAAATAAATAAAAGTCAGATCTGATAGCTGTGATTATTCAAGCTCTTACATGACACTCTCTCCTCCTCAGCTTTTGTGTACAGAGCTATATACTTAAGAGTGGTTATCAGTGAGAGATAATAAGTGGGCAAGTTGTATATGCATCAGGGCTGGGTTGGTATTAAGGGCATGATGAATGTGTATGGGATTAATAATCAAATATTAAGAACCTCTGGGGACCATAAGATGAAATGGTTACATTGCTGGACTGGACGCCCATGTAGTTGATTGCAATTCAACTCCCAGACCAGGTTGCTTAAAACACACCAGGCATGTATGCATGCGTGCCCAAAAATCCCAAGAGGAGAATGGAAGAGAAGGGGTTGCAGCCCCCCAGGGGGTGATTTCTCACTTTCTGTCTCTCTGTCTCTATGGTACGTGCATGTGGCCTATAGGAAAAAAGAGAAAAAAATTCTATCTCTCTCAAAAAAAAAAAAAAAGAACCTGTTGAACTTACTCATATTCGTCTGAGTTCAAATACATGTATCATATATGTGCTGTATAATATGTTCTTATTACATGGGACCAGCAGTTAGCATAATGGCTATGTTGCTGGATTCCCATGTAGCTGACCACAGTTTGAGTCCCGGACCAGGTGGCTTAAACTCACGCTGGGTGCGTGTGCATGTGTGCCCAAGATCCCAAGAGGAGAATGGAGGAGAAGGGACTGTGGCGTGGCCATGCCCCCTGTGGGGCGATTTCTTACTTTCTGTCTCTCTCTCTCTTTCTGGTGAGTGCACACGCCCTATAGCAAAAACCTCTCAAAAAAATATATATGTTCATATTACAGTCCAGGAGGCAGCGTATCTTTGCTTTCTAGCTACCATTTCACTGGAAATTCCTAAGTTTAAAATTCCTCATGGACAATTACAACTGTCTTACGAAAGACCAAAAAATGTGCTGAAATCTAATGTATTTATTTTTCCTTCTTTGTTTAGGCTAGTGGTCAAGTCTCTGAAGGAGAAAGGCATTGTGGAGCCCGAATTCTATGAGGAAGTCACCATCTACTTCAGTGACATCGTGGGTTTCACCACTATCTGCAAATACAGCACCCCCATGGAAGTGGTGGACATGCTAAATGACATCTATAAGAGTTTTGACCAAATTGTTGACCACCACGACGTCTACAAGGTAACCACTTCACCTCACAGGCTGAAAGGATCACACAGCCCGAGGTCATTAGTTGTTTCTTACCCAGGTATCGTCTTCTCTAATTTAACATTTAATCAATGAGTGGTTAAATTTGCGCTAACATGAAGAGAATTGGAAGAATTAGAAGAGTCAGAAGTCAAAATTACTGTTCAAGAAGCAACACAAAAGAAACAACATAAAATTCAGCAGAACTGAATTTTAGATGTATTTAGAGAAAATGGGATATTCTCAAATCACCTCCAAAAAATGGACAGTGTTTAGGCTGATTGCAGATGAAGCAGAGAAGACACTGGACTTATACATAGATACCACACTACAAGATGTGTATTATGTCTTAGAAGAAGATACAACCTTTTTTTTTGAGAGGGAGATTTTTGTTACAGGGTGAGTGCACTCGTCAGAGAGAGAGAGAGAGAGACAGACATAAAGCAAGAAATCAGCCTCCAGGGGGTTTGGTCATGTCGCAATCCCTTCTTCTCCATTCTCCTCTTGGGATTTTGGGCATGCATGCACAATTACTTGGCATGAGTTTTAAACTGCCAGGTCTAGGACTAGAACTGCAGTCAACTATGTGGAAGTCCAGCAATGTAACCATTATGCCATCTGCTGGTTCTGGCACCTATGATTTTTTTTTTTTTTTTGTCAAATAATATGGGAAAAAAATGACAAGTGCTAAAGATGATTTTTTTTTTTGGTAATTAGGATGCTCCTATAATTTCATAAAATTATTTAGATTATTTAAACATTTAATTATCATCACATATGGAAGATTTGTATAATCATGAAATACTTCTATATGCTTAAAATCCTTTATAACTGGTTTAATCTTTCATCTAACTCAATTATGAAAATGTAGAAGAAATTATCATAGAATTAGTCTTGAACTGGCCCCAGAAAAAGTGAACGGGGCTCTCTGCACAGACCTAGTTCCCAAGAACCTTTCCGTATTCGAAACGTGATTAGCCACTTCTGCTTCCTTCCTGCCTTTCAAAGGGGCAGGTCCACTGATGAGAAACTGTTCCCACAGGTGGAAACCATTGGTGATGCCTACATGGTTGCTAGTGGCTTGCCCAAGAGAAACGGCAACCGGCATGCAATAGACATTGCCAAGATGGCCTTGGACATCCTCAGCTTCATGGGGACGTTTGAGCTGGAGCATCTCCCTGGCCTCCCAATATGGATCCGCATTGGAGTTCACTCAGGTACGAAGCTGAGCACCTGAAGGGAGCCATGTGGAACTCTGTGCACCAACTAAATCAGAAAGACAAAAGGCTTTCGAAGTGATCAGTTTTCACATGAGGTTTACACTTGAATTCTATGTGCCAAATCAGGGGTCCTGTGACATGTCCTGACACATTTAGACCCAGAAGCTCCAAGAACAATGCCTTTGACAGCACCTTTGACCCCTGGAATGAAAAACACCAACAACATACAAACACTAGAAACTCTGGACCTGCTATTTAAGTCAGCACTTCTATTTTATTTATCTTCTACCCATCCCTCCCTCTCTCTACCTTCAACTTCTATATATATTTTTTGCACTAAAATATTATGGTATCTTAAGGATACTAGATTAGCTACAGGGGAGAAAATACGTGATTAAATTCCTACAAGATTTATACCTTCCCCCACCACAGTGGTTCAGAAAGTACAAGTCGCTTCAAAGACCCTGAAAGTTATGTGGTCAGGTTGAAAGAAAAATTTTAGATAAACTAAATTTAACTGACATTAATTGGACTAAGAACAATTCTACCAATTTTCTTCTCCCCATCCCTCCCTCTCTCTACCTTCAATTCTATATATATTTTTTTGCACTAAAATATTATGGTATCTTAAGGATACTAGATTAGCTACAGGGGAGAAAATACGTGATTAAATTCCTACAAGATTTATACCTTCCCCCACCACAGTGGTTCAGAAAGTACAAGTCGCTTCAAAGACCCTGAAAGTTATGTGGTCAGGTTGAAAGAAAAATTTTAGATAAACTAAATTTAACTGACATTAATTGGACTAAGAACAATTCTACCAACTGGGTGGCCCTCAGAAGCAGAACAGGTTCAGAGAACCCACTGAGTAACGCCGTCAGTCAGTATTTATAGACAGAAAACAGAGCTGAAGTAGAGAACAGGCTTCATCAGTTACAACTTGGCCTTTGCCTATCTGGACTTGGCACAATGAGGCATTTGGCTTATATGGACCTGGTCTGATCAGCTGGAGATTGGAGATTGGCTGAAATGTCCTCTTATGTTGGCTAAGACTCAGCTATTTGTTACAAAGTATGCTCCTAAGTTAGACCTTCAGTTTATGTACTAAACTAGGGTGCAGTTTGTTACACAGGACTCAGTGTGCAAGCAGCTTCAGGCCATATTTAGTTTAACAGACTTGAACATAGAGGGGTTTGTTGTCATTGTTGTTTGTTTTTTTGAGAACTTTTTTGCTATAAGGTGCACGTGCTCACTGGGGAGACAAAGAAAATCACACACACACACACACACAGACACAGGGGGATACAGCCATGCCGCAATCCCTTCTCTTCCATCTCCTCTCAGGATTTTGGGCATGCATACACATGTGCCTGGTGTAAATTTCACAACTGCAGGTCCAGGACTTGAACAGCAGTCAGCCTTGTGGTAGTCCAGTGCTAACCACTAGGCTACCTGCTGACTTCAAACACAGATTTTAAAAGATGAGTTACAAGTATTATAGAAAAACAAAGTTAGAGAGCAACTTGCAAATCATGTAGATGAATCCTTTGCAGTACATAAATCACCTTTGTAGGTTCTAAGATGAGTAAGAATTTTTAGAATAGTCTCAGGACTCCCTCAAAATTCACTATTTCCCAAATCAACTCACTCCATTATCGAATCAGTGTCATTATTAGATCATTAAATCACATCTCTCTATCATTTGTCACTGCTCCTTTAATCTCTCCAAGTCTTACAAAAGACCTTGAGTACAGAAAACCCAAAGGATCACTCCAGGCTTTACGGCAAGGACGAGAACAGCTGCATTTGCAAGTCATTCTATATCCACAGTGCCTAGTTCAAAGCCTGATAGAAAATATTTATTGATTGAGTGAGGTATTGGTGAAATTTCTCTTTTTAAAAGTTTTCTTACAAGAGGTCACATTTGCTCACCAGAGAGAGAAAGAGAGAGAGAGAGAAAGAGAGAGAGAGAGAGAGAGAGAGAGAACTCCAGTGGGCTACGGTCATGCTATAATCCCTTTTCTTCCATTCCCCTATCCCATCAGGATTTGGGGCACACATGCACATGTACTCAAGCGTGTTTTTCAAGCCACTGGGACTAGATTCAAACCACAGAGGGTCATGTGGGATCTGTTTCCTTAGGCAGCATGCTATGGGGTAGGCCCTGGTGAGAGTTTTCCTCCTATTTTTTTTTTCAAATTATTTTTATTTAACTTTATCTATTCATTCATTTATTTCAATTTGACTAGAGAGGGATAGAGTGAGAGAGAGAGAGAGAGAGAGAGAGAAAGCTGCCAGGTCTGAGATTTGAACTGCAGTCAGCCATGTGGGAGTCCAGTGTCCCTAACCACCAAGCCACCTGCTGGACCCCCCCCCTTTTTTTTTTAAGAGAAATTTTTGCTGTAGGACATCTGCACTTGCCAGAGAGACAGAGAAAGACAGAAAGTGAGAAATCACACACACACACACACACACACACACACACACCCAGGGGGAATGGCCATGCCACGATCTCTTCTCCATTCTCCTCCCAGGGTCTTGGTCAAAGGGAACATGTGCCTGGTGTGAGTTTTAAGCTGCTGGGTCTGGGACTTGAACTGCAGTCAAGTATGTGGGAGTCCAGCAACATAACCATTACACCACCTGCTGGTCCCAAATTCGTTTATTTTTTTAGAGAGAGATTTTTGCTATCGGGCACGGGCACTTGCTGGAGAGACAGAGAGAGACAGAGAGACAGAAAGTGAGAAACCACTCTCCAGAAGAGACGACCACACTGCAATCCCTTCTCCATTCTCCTCCCAGGGTCTTGGTCAAAGGGAACATGTGCCTGGTGTGAGTTTTAAGCTGCCAGGTCCAGGACTCAAACCACAGTCAACTACATGGGAGTCCAGCAAAGTAACCACCATGCCAACTGCATGATGAGATTTTTCATGATGAGATTTTTCAAAGTGACAGTAAATAGAATTTAAAAACCACTGCCATGTCTTTGACATCCAGGAACACAGCCGTGACCTTCCTCAGTCATGTCTATAAGCGAAAGTCACAGATGTTTCCATATACTCTTGAGAGAACCTCCTGGCAAGCTCTCTGGCCACAGAAGTAGCACACTGTCTCTTTTCCGACCCATCACGAATCGCTAGGCTGAAGGAAGGCTTAGCAATCGGCCTGACAGAACCACATCAGGGAAATTAGAGTCCAGGTTCTCTGCTCGATCTCCTTCCCCTGTGATTTGCTCCATGCCAGAGGTGATCACCAGACCTGGCCCCTCCACACTAGCTGGCATGAGAGGAATATCCAACACTTACCTGGAGGAGTTGAGGCCTAAGAAATGGAAAAGTTGCAAAGTTAGATATCGATCCTTAAGAACGAGACATAATATCTGCAGGGATTCTTTTCACTACCAGACCCTTGGCCACTTTGTCATTGTGAAATAAGGAGTCATTTGTAGATAGGCCCACCAGCCCTAGTGCACAGCCTGATGTTGGGGGGCGGGGAGCTCTGAGAGTCCTGATGGATGGCTGCCTCTACTGTGCTTTCCCTCCCGAGAGTTTCTGTTTGGTTTTTATTTTTGTTTCATTGTTTGTTTTTCATCAGAGCTGACAGCAAAGGGCCCGGACTCAGGGGAAGATGCACAGTTTGATTTATTTTTTTTCAGTGTTCTTAAAAAGAGTACTGGTGGGATAAATCTATAAAGAAACTCATATAGAATGAAACACAACAAGCCACCTTAAACATTAATCATTAACCCTACCCTCAGTGTTGCAGTTTCTAAGTTAATCTTTAACTTCTAAAATCTGAAACTTCTTGCATGCAGTCATTCCACAAATACCTCATGGAACAATTCTTCTTTCCTACCCCACATGCCACAGTGCTCAGCGTTGTCTGGGCTTTCGTTCTGGTTGTTAGGCTGCCTCGTGCCATCAGTTTCTCCCACCCAATGTGTGTGCATTCACATAACCCATGAAATGCTTAAGACAGATTATGCCAAGTTCCTGTCTCCTGGGTCTTACATAATTGTGCCACTAACTCCAGAAATGCCACCCTAAAATAAAATATAAAACGAACTTGGGTCACTGAAACTTCACGTCTTTGGTGCCCTCCAGCAGCCAGAGTGTGGGGTTGTGTGGCCTAGCACAGCCAACAAGCAGTGGGATTTGGGGTCACGCTCATCTTTCCTGAGAGCCTTCTATGTCAAATATCAAGAAGGACTTCCCACCTTTGTGATTCATCTCTCTGGATGCCTTCCTATTGAGAGCAATTTTTTGTTGTTGTTTTGCTTCATTTTGTTTTGTGTTTACCAGGGCAAACTACATTCTGCAATCGTGCATTGAATAATGGTGCTATTCTTGTTAAATATGTCCATTTTAATCAAAGTCACAGCTCCTGTTTCATACCCTCAGCTACCTCCCCGTGACAGGACAGGAAGTATTCAGCATTGTTGACCCTGTGAAGAACTTATCCACTTTTTTTAGACAGAGATTTTTTTTTGCTATAGGGCATGTACACCAGAGAGACAGAGACAGAGAGACAGAAAGTGAGAAATCACCTCTTCCCCGCCCCAGGAGGGATGGCCACACCACAGTCCCTTCTCCTTCAGTCTCCTCTTGGGATTTTGGGCATGCACATGTGAGTTTTTAGCCACTGGGTCCGGGACCAGAACTGTGGTTGACTACATAGGAGTCTTGCGATGTAACCATTACGCCATCTGCTGGTCCCAGAACATACCTATCTTACTTAGTGTGCAGTTTCCATCGCCTCAACTTCCTGCTTTCGATTCTCCATTCCAGGTCCCTGTGCTGCTGGAGTTGTGGGAATAAAGATGCCTCGATATTGCCTGTTTGGAGATACAGTCAACACTGCCTCCAGGATGGAATCCACTGGCCTCCGTAAGAAAACAGTTCTTTCATTAAAGGACAAAGACTCTCCCTTCCAGCAGGGGGCGACTGGGATGAAATGCGCAGTGAGATACCGAGTCCCAGTGAGATGAGGAACGACCCTTCGCATTGGCTGAACATGAGTCTGGGTGGATCCAGTCCTTGCTGTTTTACTTGTCATTGTTTGCTAATAATTATTTTGCTTTGACTTCTCTGCTCAGTTTTAGACTGTTTCTATAGTTTTGTCTCATTTCAGTCATTTTGGGCACATTGTATCTGGAATAGTCATGAAATTTAGCATAGTTAAGAAAAATCCATGTTGGTTTAAAAAAAAAAAATCAGTGGGCCAAATATATATGGACCATACACCCTGGTTTGCATTCCTTTTTACCTTTTTTCTTTTTTTTTATGGAAATTGATTTTAGTAAAGACAAATCTGGGGATTTGTTATATGCAAAGATACATTGCATTTGCCTGGCAAGGAAGAGGCCAGTAAATGATACTATGTGTGAAAGGAGATCCATAAATATTAATGGCAGTATTAGTTAGAGATTGTTTTTTGCCTTTGGACATGTGCATTCACCAGAGAGAGAGACAGACACAATGAGAGGGAAAGTGAGAAATCACCCCACAGAGGGATGGACACACAACAATCCCTTCTCCTCTATTCTCCTCCTGGAATCTTAGGCACGCATACACATGTACCTGGCATGATTTTGTTTTATTTATTTATCTATCTATCTATCGATTGATCAATCTATTTTTTAATTTGACCAGAGTGGGACACGGTGAGAGAGAGAAAAAGAGAGAGAGAGAGAAAGTGAGAAAGTAAGCCACCAGGTGCAGGACTCAAACCATGGTTGGCCATGTGGGAGTCCAGTACCCTTCCTTAACCACTATGCCACCTGCCGGCATGATTTTGAAGCCACCAGGTCTGGGACTCTGGAACCATGGTCAGCCATATCAGAGTCCAGCGACATAACCACTACACCATCTGCTGTTCCCAACAGGACAGTATTTTGACAGTCCACTGACAACTGACACTAATTTATACTGGAAAATCATGGTGTAAAGAATAGGGCTGGAGCGGCCAGCAGGTGGAGCAGTGGATAAGGTGCTCAATTTCCACATGGTTGACCACAGTTTGAGTCCCAGACTTGGCAGCATGAAATTCACGCTAGACATGTGTGCATGCATGCCCAAAATCCCAAGAGGAGACTGGAGGAGAAGGGACTGTGGTATGACCATGCCCCCCTGGGGGGTGATTTCTTCCTTTCTTTCTCTCTGTCTCTCTTATACACACACAAAACAAAAGTCTATATAAAAAATAGATAACAAAAATAACAAAATGAAAATCTATAACAAAAATCTCTAAAATAAATAAATAAATAAATAAGGTTGGAGTCAGACATGGTGGGGTTAAACTCCTAACTGTGCTGATCATTGTCTAAGCTAAGGATCAAGTTCTCTGATCTCTCAAGGCCTCTGAAAGATGAATATATAAATTAAGATTGGGATATCAACCTAGCTGGGCTATTGGAAAAATTTGGGATGATGCTTTGATAAGCGTTTAGCCATCCTCTGGTAGAAGACAGGCCCACAGTTTGCTGTCGCCTTACTGCTGTTGTGTGTTGTGTGTGCTTACACACCCAGGCTGGGAAGGTGGGCCATATCAATGGGTCTCAAAGTGAGGATGCCTTTACCACTCGTTAGTCGGAAGGATAACAGTGCAGAAGGATGCTTTGAGAAAGTCAAGACCCTGTAACTCTCTCCTCAATCTTTACCTTACACCTAATACTAACTATTTATTAGCACTTTTATAAGGAACTCAAAACTAAATTCCAGCTTCTAAGTTTAGCACTATAAGCCAAATCTAAAGCCAGGTTTCAAAGGCTTTCAGTCTGGGCTGGAGTGAGGATCTATGGAGCAAAGCCTGGGAATCTGTCACTCAGGACCCTGGAAACTGCTGCCAGACCCTCCTTCCCAAGCGTGATGGTATTTTTTTTGCCCTCGTTATTGTTATCTTTAAATGTTCTTTTACTATTTGTTTTTATATTTGTTTTTCCCCTGGATTCAGATTACTTGTTTCAGATATTCTTGATAGACTGAATCAAGGGTAAATAAATGTGACCATCTAATACATTTTAAAATGAGCAAGATGTTCATTTATCTCCTTGGCATTTTCAGCCTTGAGAATTCACGTGAGCGGCTCCACTATATCCATCCTGAAGAGAACAGAGTGCCAGTTCCTATATGAAGTGAGAGGAGAAACATACTTAAAGGTAAGGAGTTCACAAAGAGAGTGCGTAGGAAAATCACAGGAGGTAGGGCACCGCTGTGTGATACTGGAGCCACACGGGGACCTGGGTTCAGGTCCCAGGTCAGCCTAAACACCCTGGGCACCCTCGTGTGCATCCCTGATCCTAAGTGAAGGCTGGGCTGGGTAGGGGGCAGTGGATCATTGCATAAGATATCTTGTCAAGAGTCTCTCTTTCTTTCAAAACAAATTAAAAAAAAATAAAAAACTTAAAAAAGAAGCAAAAGAGAAAACATCCAAATACACATGGGCCACCTCATCCGAGACTTGGCCAGGAAAGCTGAGGAGCACGAAGATGAAAACTCTTCTGTACACTCCGTGATCACTCACCGTCCCCCGTGGAAGCAAGCACCCCTGAAGAATGTGAACTCGGAACTTGCCTTTACTCCCAAGAGCCTTTTCCATACTTGGAACTGTGATCAGTATGTTATAAATGCTGCCACCATTTCCTCTACATATATCCAAATTTTGCTCCATTTTTCTCTCCAAAGCCAGGAGTGACAGTCTGGCCCAGCACTTACTTAAGCCAAATCTCCATTGCCTCACATGTTTCCCTAGTCTTGCCACAAGGTCACCTCTATCTAAGGTTACCTCTCTCCCAGTAGCTTTACCATAATGAAGCTCTGAACCAGTGAATTACGAGGCTTGACCTCATATTCCTCCTGACTTGACATCACCTGGATGCTTGTTAAAATGCAGATGTCTGAATACCCAACCAGGCCTACTGAAAGGAAAAAAAAAAATTCTCCGTGGGTTAAATCAGGAATATATACATTCTATCTATCTATCTATCTATCTATCTATCTATCTATCTATCTATCTTATCTATCTATCTATCTATCCATCTATTATCTATCTAGCTACATGTTGTTGTCTTTTAAAGAGATATTTTTGTTATAAGGTGTGTGTGCTTGCCGGAGACACACAGAGAGAGAAAGTGAAAAATCACTCCTAGGGGAGATGGCCCCGCCACAATCCCTTCTCCTCCATTCTCCTCCGGGGATTTTGGGCATGCACCTACACATGCGCCCACCATGAGTTTTAAACCTCCAGGTCCAGGACTCAAACTGTGGTTGGCCATGTGGGAGTCCAGCGCTGTAACCACTATGGCATCTGTTGGCCCAGAATCTATATTTTTAACTATTCTGCGATCACAGTGAAGTTTGAGAATCACTATTCTAAATTCTCCATGCTGCTCCTCACATTTAAGATAGCTGCCCTCCAGGGGCCAACAGGTGGCATGGTGGTTAAGGCACTGGACTCCCACATGGCTGACTGTGGTTTGAGTCCCAAACCTGGCAGCTTGAAAATCACATCAGCCATGTGTGTGCATGCCCAAAATCCCAAGAGGAGAATGGAGGAAAAGGGATTATGATATGGTGTGGTCATCCCCCTTGGAGGATGATTTCTCACTTTCCCTCTCACTATTTCTGTCTCTCTGGTAATGAGCACATGTGCCTTATGACAAAAACCTCAAACCCAAATAAAATGCAATAGCTGCCCTCTAGGGCCGCCTGCCTCCAGTTGACTCTCAGGCCGCTTTTTGAAATTATTACAGTCTCCTCACAATTGGTCTGAAGCCAACTATCAACGATAAAATTACGCCTTTCTAGTCGCTATATCCTCCTGGCCTTCACACATTGATTACAACTTGGAAACGCTTCCTTGAAAGTAAAAATGTCCTAAGATCACATTTGCATTTCTTAGGGATTTATTTATTTATTTATTTATTTCTTCCATGAGCAAGAGAGACAGAGAAAAAGCACCCCAACAGGGTATTAATGCTGAGATCCACCCCCACAGCCAGCTCTGGACCATAGGCACACGTGTGCCCAGCACACGCAGGGAGGTCTCCAGATGCAAACTGGAAACCTTTCCGCGTGGGTCTGAGCATCAGTTTACACTCCTGTGCCTTCATCCACCCGCCAAAATTACTTTTTGAGTCCTCTTTAAATACGTTTTCTACACAGAGTGTTTCCCCCTAAATAGAAGTGGTTTATGGATTACTGCAACCCTAACGGAGCCAGCAAACCGCTATTTTTAAATATGAGGATTTTCAAATGTATATAACCATCCAGTCTCCTTCTCAAATACAAGCTCTAGCAAAACCAGGGTTTTCTGTGAGTTTCCATACATTGTATAGCTCTCAGATGAGCCCGTCAAATGTCACCTAACGAGTCTTTATTACGATGCATGTGTGTTTATAATGGACACCATTAGGCAAGGGAAACTGGCAAGAGTTTTGTGGCAAACTTTGTGGCTAAAAGGACTAGAAGAAAATGGGGACAATGAAAACCAGTTGAATTTGTTGGCAAAATACCCCCCTCGTTGGTCTTACACTGGCCAGAGACAGATTAGGGGGCACAGCCACGCCACAATCTCTTCCTCTCTGTTTCTTCATCCTGTCAAGATTTTAGACACACACACACACACACACACAGAATGTTTTTTGAGCCACCAGGGCTGGCATTTGAATGATGGGATCTGGCTCCCTTAAACCACTAGGCAACAGGGCTGGATGGAAGTAGGAGTTCTTATAATGCTGTAATAGTGACATTTTGAAATAAATTCTCAGAAAAAAGAAAACTCTGCTTTGAAGAAAACATGCCTAGTTGAATGAGAGGCTTATGCACTTGGAAAAAAAGATCTGTCTAAAGATAATACAAATCACAGTAGGAATGTGTGATGTGCTTACATACATGCACTGATGAGAAATGTGGAGACAGGTCTTGTGAACAGACCTACCGTAGGAAGAGTAGACTAGAACTAAACCGTCTCACTGGCCTCCATGGGACCTACCTCTTCTGTTTCCCTAGGGAAGAGGGACTGAGACCACCTACTGGCTGACTGGAATGAAGGACCAGGAGTACAACCTGCCAGTACCTCCGACGGTGTAAGTTTCTGGGTGTGCGAGGGAGGCAGGGGAGTTGGAGCTTTTGGCTCTGCAAATTGTGCTGTATTCCGACAGTTTAAGTTGGTATCTTGCAAGTGGTGATGGCGCGCTGAGTATGAAGCAGGGGACTAGACACACGAGAAGGTGTGGAAACCTCCCCTTTCCCTGGCTGCAAGAAATTGGGAGTCCTGGGAATCCACATTTTCCTTTTTGTTTTTTATTTTGCTAGAGGGCATGCGCATGCACCAGAATAAAGCAGAGAAAATGAGAAAGCATCCCACTGTGGGTCATGCCACAATCCTTTCTCCATCCCTCCCTCCCTGCTTTGGGATTTCCAGTGCACACACACGCCCCCAGTGTGTTTCTCAAGCTGCCAGGTCCAAGATTCAAACCCACGCTGTTAACCACCAGGACGCCTGCTGCCCGATATTTTCCTGAGGCCTCAATAAAACAGAAAAACACTTCATTGTGGCCACCTTATCTGGAACCAAGATTTCCTTTCATGAACTCAGTGAAATAATTATTTCTTACCCAGAGCTTTATCCCTATCATTTCAGGGGGAAAAGAAGAATGAGTATAATATCTAGAACTTGAAGAGGTTTTGTGTTTATGTCAGTTACCTTGTTTCTGCTTTGTCTTGTTTACTGGCTTTTTCCCTCCATATTCATGATAGGATTTTGATTTTGATTTTCTCATTTTTAAATTTTTTATAGAGAAATGTTTGTGATAGGATGCATGTGTTTGCCAGAGAAACAGAAAGCGAGAAATGGCCACAGCGCAATCCCTTCTCCATTCTCCTTCCGGTATTCTGGGCATGCTTGCACACGCACCCCAAGTGAGATTTAAGCCTCTGAGTTTGAGACTCGACCCATGGTCTGCCATGTGGGAGTCCAGTGATGTAACCACTCACCATCTGCTAATCCCCAAGACATAATTTTTCCATTGTTACAGTTATATTTTAAATGCCTTATCTATGAAAGTACACTCAAGTCATTGTTTTTACAAAACATATTCTATGTATTAGGTAAGAGTAAGAGTTAAACATTGACTGAGTCTGTGTACATACTTCTACCTATCCTACCCACGGGGATCGCCCCAGACGTGGGCCTGTGTTTGCTGGAACGCTGACTAAACTCTCCCACACTGAAGCATGGCAAAGCTAGCACGTGTTCCAGCTCGCTCAGGAGAACAGAAGGCAGTTTAGGGCCCCCTCATGCATGCCTGGCTCAGAAGAGAGTAGCATGCCAGAGGCACAGAAGCTCTGTGTTTCCACTCTCCTCTGCAGCTTTCTGTTTAGAAACACAAAACTAAAATCCTTCCCCAGCCCCAAGACTGGTTCTGGGTATTGGCATGGAATATGTGCTCTTCCTGAGATGAGGAAGACAAAGGTTCAGGTCTGACAGGTTTCGGTTTTCCTAAAGGTGACTCGGTTGTGATCCAGCTACATATTGGTAGACTTTGGACGCACTCAGTCACGTGGCCGTTACTATGGCTTCTGTTGTGGTAGAGAAACCCTGTCCTGCAGATGCCTGGATGCCAGGTGGCAGGCTGCTAGCGATGCCAAAACAACTCAGATCTTCCCTGGAGCACTGGAAACCTGGCTTCCTACCCAGAGTGCCCCAGATCTGTTCTAAACTCTTAAAACCATCTGTCCATTCTGAACTTTCCCTAGACGAGATCTACACACCAGATATGCATGCCACCAGGGCTCTCAGGGTGGTTTGGCAAGGGCCTAGCATCCTTCTGGCTTCTTTGTCCCTTCTTACAGTGGCACATGCTAACCTATATCCTCCTAACCGAGGTGCCGAATTCTAGTGGGGGGTAGTTTCTCTTTGAAATTGAAGTCTATCTTCCTGCTTGAGGTACATTTTTCTTATTCTACAAATAAAAAAAAAGCAGGAATGAGAGTTCCTTAAGCTCATCTAAGACAAGGGTCATTTTATGTTCCAGAGTAGGCATTCGGTGAGTGGCCAGGGAACTGAACTGATTATTCTAGAGCTCAGGATATCCTGTATGAGTTCTTGAGCTATTCCATCTTCTCTCACCACTCTCTTTCCAGGGAGAATCAACAGCGTTTGCAAGCAGAATTTTCCGACATGATTGCCAACTCTTTACAGAAAAGACAGGCCTCAGGGGTAAGAAGCAGAAAACCGACACGGGTAGCCAGCTACAAAAAAGGCACCCTGGAATACTTGCAACTGAACACCACAGACAAGGAGGGCACCTATTTTTAACCTAAGTAAGCGGCGAGGACTCCCACAAATCAGCTGCACATCAGCAGCAATAACCTCAAGTGTCCTGAAACCTTGCCTTTTCCTGAGACCTCAGCGAAACAGAAAAAAAAAAAAATTAGCCTTGGCCACCCTGTCTGGAACATAGACTCCCTTCTCTGAACGAGTTCATGCTCTCGGTGAGATGACCTCGGGAGTCTTACTCCCAACGGCGGCTCCAAGGAGATTTCCCCTTAAAAAGGGGAGCAATGAACATACTCTCTGGAACTTGAGATTTTATTATTCCATTTATTTTGTTTCTGTTTTGTTTTGTTTACTATCTCTTTTTTCCTTCTGTATTCATGATGGGATTTGTTTAATTGTCACAATTATATATGAACAACTTTATCTCATTAGCGTATACTTAACTCATAATTTTTGCAGAACATATTCTATATATCAGTGAAGAATAAATGTTAGAGTTGAATGAGTCTGTGTGTGTGTGCTTCTATTTATTCCACCTGTTTTCCTGGAATATACGTCCTCATCTAATCTTTGCTGGAGAACCGACTAAATTCTCCTGCCCGGAGGCATGGCAAAGCTAGTGTTGTCACTCGGAGGTGGAAACTTTGAAGGTCAGTGTCACCTTCTGCACATGAGAAGATTTTTTCATTGCCAGAGAGTGCAAATGTTCATCAGCGAGAGACAGAGGAGAGTGAGAGCAGTGAGAGAGGGAGGGGGAAAGAAAAGCACATCCCAATGGGGCATGATCACGCGTTAAATCCCTTTTCCTCCATTTCTCCATCACGCCAGGATTGGGGCATGTAGGCACACACGCCCGGTGTTTGTTCCAAGCTGCTGGTGCCGGAATTTGAACCGTGGTTGGGCCTTATGGGATCTGGCTGTCGATGCACAGCACTTAACCACTGCGCTACAGGGTCAGCCCAATCAAGGAATTTTTGATCATTAATCGGAGGTGTTGCCAGGTCTTGTCCACTTAGCAATGTGGACATGAGGTACTACCTTGGCAGTGACCTAAGAATGAACTCAGGTAAGGATCAAATTCCTGCACTGATCCTATTTAGCTATAGAGTGATTAATGTCTCTAAGATCCTGATGTTTTATAAGTCAGTCATGAATCATGACACTCCCCCTAAGAGCTATCATAAAGTTTTTTGGGTCTTTTGGCCATAGGGTATGTGTACTCAGCAGACAGGGATAGTGAGAAATCACCCCCAAGGAGGGATGGCCATGCCACAATCACTTCTCCTCCATGTTCCTCTCTGGATTTGGGGCATGTGTGAGCATGCACCTGGCATGATTGTCAAGCCATGGGTTCCAGGACTCAAACCACAGTCAACCATGTGAGAGTCCAGTGCCTTACCCACAGTGCTACCTGCTGGTCCCACAAAAATTTTTTTTTATTGATAAAGAAATTAGTCATATAGCACAGAGTCAGTCACATAGGAGGTTCTCAACAAATAATCTCTACCGTCCACTTTGCCCTTCTCTATACTTGCTTCACAATCAGAGCTAATAATTTAAAGTCAGGGCCTCCATGTGTGTGCTAAATATATGTAAGAAAATTAGTTTTAACAATTGATAATAGAATTTTTTAAATGTACTCAAGCATATAGGGAATAGTTAATAAACTCATGTATTGATCATACGTTTCAAGAATTATCAGCATGGGCTTGTTTCTCCATGTTACATCAGATTTGTTTTGTGTATTTTAAAGAAAAGTCCAATATCATATCTTTCACCTATAAATAACTGCATGTTTTAACACAAGATTATAAAGCAAGTCCCATGGCCTAGTACTTAAGGGAGCAGGATCCCACATGACCAACTACGTGGTTCAAATTCTGGCCCCGGTAGCTTGAAAAACATGCTGGCAATTAAAAAAAAAAAATGACCTCTTACTGTAAAGGTTCAGAAAATAAATATTTTAAGCTTGGTGGGCCAGACTGTCTCTATTACAACTACTCATCTCTGCGGCTGTAGTACAGAAGACACCATAAAAAGTATATAAGCAAATGGGCACTCTGTGTTCCAATGAAACTTTATTTATAAAAACAGATGGTGGGTCAAAGTCTGCTCACCTCTGCTCTAGCAGGTAAATAATTTTTAAAAACATAGGGCAGCTGGGATTGCTAGATCCCACATGGCCAATTGTACAGCTTCAGTCCCAGACCTGGTGGCTTCAGGGGTACTGCTGGGTGCTTGTGCATGCATGTCCAAAATCCCTAGGGGAAAATGGAAAAGTGATTGTGGCATGGCCCTTTCTCCTGGGGAGTGCTTTCTCACCCTCTCATTCTCTCTCTTTGTCTCTTCTCTTGCCAGTAACCACATGTGCCCTATACCAAATTTAAATAAATAAATAAAACACCATTACGGAAACAGAGCAGAGACACCCCCGAGAGGAGTGGGTCTTCAGTTTCCCCCTCTGCTAAAGAAAAAATAAGAATTTCCCAAACTGAAAAATAATGTGGGCTGAACTAAAAGTAAAGTGTATTTTCTAAGGTGCTTGGAATATAAGATATATTTACATAATAATGGGCCAGAATAAGAGGTAAAACTTCAGATTTTGGTTATGGTAATAAAATAACATTAGCCATGAAGAAGGACATTAGACCTCTAAAATTCTCACTTAAAGAAAAGATAAGGTTTTAATTTCAATACCAGGACGTTTTGTGGGATGGAAACTGCTGGCTGTGAACTCAAAGGCTGAGTGACTCTAGTAATCAGAACAGAAATTTGACTAGCTAAGGCCTCACAATAGAGAATGTCCATGGGATGATCACATCCTCTTGAACCAATCATTTGAAGTGATCGTGTTCCTGGAACCCCTACCCCTAATTTTGTCCTTAAAAACACATGTGGAAATGGGGGGAAACATGCTCACCCATCTAATGTCAAAGAATGGACACAGAGACAGGAGGTACTGGGAAGCAAGACTTCAATGGCAGTCTTGCAAGATCGAGTGTCTGACAGACAGGCACACCCAAATCAATTAGGAGCATTTTATTCCCTAGTGCACAAGTCCCTCCCCTAGTTCCTCATTGGCTGAGTACCATGGGCTGTACAATCTTCACTGAGGTTGCCTATGTTTTGTTATTTCATTATTAGGCATTAAAGCGCAGGCTCAGGACAAGCTCATGAAAAAGGCCTGCCAAACGTCCCGAGGAGAAAGAAGAATCGGGAAGTAAAAAGGAGCAAAAGGCTAGTGACCAGCCACCATCTTGAGAAGTCATTTCTCGGGTAACCAGCAGTTAGCGTAATGGCTATGTTGCTGGACTCCCATGTAGTCGACCGCGGTTCATGTCCTGGACCCGGTGGTTTAAAACTCACGCCGGGTGTGTGTGTGTGCGTGCCCAAGATCCCGAGAGGAGAATGGAGGAGAAGGGATTGCAGCATGACCATCCCCCCTGGGGGGTGATTTCTCGCTTTCTGTCTCTATGTCTCTCTCTGTCTGGCGAACGCACGTGCCCTACAGGAAAAAAAAAAAAAACTCTCCCAAAAAAAAGAAAAAAAAAAAGAGAAGTCATTTCTCAAGGGTGACTTGTTTTGAGACTTTTCAGGAACGTGTACTTTCTGGGGTTGTTATATCTGCAAGCTAGTTACGCATTTTTGTTAAGCTATTCTTGAAAATAAATCACTTTTTTAAAAAAAAAGATTTTATTTAACTTTATTTATTTATTAAATTTGACCAGAGAGGGGGAGAGAGAGAGAGAGGAGAGAGAGAAAGTGAGAAAGCAAGTCACCAGGTCCAGGACTCGAACCATGGTCAGCCATGTGGGAGTCCAGCGTCCTCAACCACCATGCCTCCTGCCAGCCCTGAAAATGAAACACTTTTTTGTGGGGAACACCTCAGGGTCTTTTCAGCATGAGCTGCTCGCTCTCCCTGCTTTGTGCATTGCAAGAAAGCCGTACTTTCTTTTTTTTTTTTTTTCCAACTATTTAATAAAACTCATACAGGTCAAAAAACTTCATTATCAAATCAGAGTATCTGAGTCACCAAACTTTCAGGTTATTTAAAAAGAATGTTCAGATGGAAACTGTCACAAGTAGGACTTTTTATTTGTCACTATTAACAGTCTGAACTTTAAATAGATTTCCAGACTGGTGGTTCATATCCACCAGCTTGTTCAACTTTGGTGCCCATCTCACCCCCAGTAGCTTTTCCAGAGCTACTGCCTTCACCATGACACTCCATGAGTTTTCCCAATTCAAACCTGGACTTCTTCAGCATTTTGACTTTCCTGACAAAGACGTCGTGGAGAGGGTAGATGGACTGGCAGGCCTTTTCTATGTCTTTTCCTGTGCTGTCTGGAATCAGTTTATTGACCACTTCTTTCAAGTCATTTGTCTGCACCTCCCGGGTCATGATTTCCATCATCTTCTTCCAGATTTGGTGGACCTGCTGATGCTGGGCATAAGAGGTCTTCCGAATCTGTTGCGATTTTTAGCAAACCCAACACAGAAGAGGCAAAGCAAATAACCACCGGTAGTCTTGACATCGACATGAGCTTCAATCATGGTCTGCCATTTTTTGACCATGGAACACATTTTGTCACGGGTGAGATCCATGCCATGGAAGTTAGTCAGGCAGTTTTTGCTCTGAACGTCCTCAGTAATGAACTTGAATTTCCTAAATGCGACTTCGTCCTTCTGCAGATCTGCAAGGCTCACTTCAAACACACGGCCCTTAAGGCAGTCGGATGCAATTTTGGATCCTTGAGTCCTGGTAACCAGTGTCTTCCCCATATTTCTTATGTTGAACATAGCAGGTGCTTTCACGCCCTACCAATCTTTTTTAGAAAATGGATCAACCACTTTCTTCTTGGCTCCCTTTTTGCCACCTTCATAAGGCACTTATCCTTGCCAAGTGCCATGGTGCTACTCAGAGAGCCAAAAGGCAGCTGTATTTTCTTTCATCACGTCATGTGCTTACAGTTTGGTTTGCAGTGCTTAGGAGAGTGAACCTGATTTGATGTTGGTAACATTATCACATAAAATGAAATTAACAGTAAGTCCTTAACATCAACTAACAAGTTTATATTTATTAAAATTTCTGGGCCAGCCAGGTGGTGTGATGGTTAAGGTGCTGGATTCCACATGGCTGACTGCACAGTTGAGTCCCAGACCCAGCAGCATCAAAAACACGCTGAGTGTGTGAGCGTGTCTGCCCAAAGTCCTGAGAGGAGAATGGAGGAAAAAACTGAGGCATGGTCATTTTCCAGGGGGTGCCTTCTCACTTTCTCTTACTTTTCCTGTCTCTCTCTGGTGAACACGCACACCATATAGCAAAGATAAAAAAAAAAATTCCTTGATTGATTCAAAACCTGTTTTAATTACTTCAAATCAGAATCCCAAAAAGGTCCACATATTACATGTGATTGAAATGTCAGCCTAGTCTCTCTTTAAAAATTTTTTTTGCCAGAGGGCACATGCACTTGTCAGAGAGAGAGAGTAGGAAAGTCAGAA